AATAACCCCTATAGCAGTCCCCCATATAATCCCCTATATACCCCCCCTTTAAGGAGTTTAGACTATGGCTCATGTGGACTCTGAGCCCTAAACCCCAAACCCTTCACCCTGTATATCCCCATCTTTCATCATGGCCTGCTCTAAGCTCGGATATTTGTCCAGCACGTCGTGGATTGTCCTCACATGGGATATGTAGGGGTTATGTTGGGGCTTGATGTAGAAATTATAGGGGTTAGATACAGTTATACAGGGGCTACGTAGGGATTAGGGGGTGTTATCCCTAGTAAATAAGAATGCCATGAAAAAGAGAATGGAGAATGAAATGGCAGCTGGGCTTGTGTAGTGGGTTGATGGGGATTGAATTATGGCAAATTCGGGGTCCCTGTTTAGGGGGTACCCATGGCAAGGATAATACTTTTGGACCTAGACAGAGGCCCCTTCTTTTGGAAACTCCCACATGTCTTCATTGCCACATCAAGAGCTAATCCCTAAACCCATGTGAGCTACAGTCTAAACTCCTAGTATCCCCCGTAATAACCCCTATAGTAGTCCCCTATATAATCATCCCCTATATAACCCCCATTAAGGAGTTTAGACTATAAACCCATGTGCAAACGACAAAGGGCAACCAGCCTCGGAGCCCGAGGGATCGTCTTGACGCTCTGCTGGTGTAAATAGGGCCGTGGCATTGGAAACTGGCAAGCCAGCAACTAGCATACGTGTTTGGAGACAGGTACTTGTGCTTCAAAAGTGCGGATCTTGCTCAACAATGTATGCTGCACCTTCGAAATCGTCGACGACACAAAGGCGGAAGGGTTCCGGACCTGGAGTCAGGAAGGCCCCAATCCACACATCTGGAAGGTCTAAAGATGCTCAAGCTTGGTCCAAGGCATCCCCACTTTCACTGAGGACTCAGCATCCGATTTGGCGCCCAGCTCATCGATCACCTGACTAGACTCGACTGGTTATCAAGGAAGTTTGTCTTGACCGTTCGCGACTGCAAGACCAGCTTGCTCTGGATCTGTACTGCCAACTTCTTCTGAGAAATGATATTGTTGCAAGTTGCAAGCCGTGGACTAGTGGGTGCATGTTGTTTCGAGCAAAATTCTCAAGCATGCGTAGTAGGTACCTCGGCTTGCTACTTACCCTAGCCCAATGAACGGTAGATGGGGACTAAGCATAGAATAACAAAACCGCTGACGCTGTAAAATCTCAGTATATTAGCAACGCCCTCCAGTGCACAAAAGCTCCCGATGGCATGCTTTATTATTACTACAAGCAGAACCAGGGGGCCAGCAACAACCAAGCACAAGTTGCCTGTGCAGCGCGTTCCGGGTTTGCCCGGGCAAGTGCTTGGAGAGCCCCCTGCCAATGCTGTCTCAAGCTGAGTGCACACTCTGTAGCACGGTGCAGATTTGCAGATATGAACCTTTCAGGAACCGCTCCTATCGCATCTGATCTGTCTTGTCGCAACTCCTTACTATCTTTAGAATGTGCAAATTTCTGCGAGAAAAGAAGTTCTTACACGAACGAGGCCTGTATTTATGCTGCCAGGCAGAAGCACATACCAAACGCTCACATCCGCAGCTGCTGTGGACCATTTTTGCCCTTTGCATGCGCCTTTTTGCTGTAGGCTTCCGCTGAGACTGTTGGAGTGCCCTCCAGCCAACACTTTCTTGCTGCAGAACAAAGAAGTGGTTCCTCACATCTCTAAGCTGGTGCAGGTCTGCTCGAGGTCCCAGTCTATGGCCGCAAACAACGTTGCTTGCGTGGTGAACACGCTGTCAGTCTCGATGTTGAGTTCACAGAGATGGCATGTCATGTCACAAGTCTGCATGTGCATCATCCTCAGATGTGTATCGGCCTAGAGACTGGAAGCAAAACCAACATATGGCCCGTGGCAAGCAGCATAATGAGTTTTCAGGTCACAAGCCCCAGAAGTATCACTGTTACAAGTCCTCCAAACTACCAGTGAATAATTTCCTCCAAGGTGCTGCATCCTGAAGGTCTGGGATCTCCTCTTCCTTCTTGGGCTTGTCCTTCAAATGCTCATGCTTGCCATGTTTCAATGGCAGGATGTCCCCCAGGTCAAGGAGCTTCAAAGGTTACCAGAAGTGGTGTCGAGTCTTCCGCGGATAGCTTTAAATAGAATAAGTCCGAACTTCAGATGCTCATAAACCAGCGATAACAACCCCTTTCTGCTAAACATGAGCCCCGGAAACCAGTATAATATTCACGGGAAACTTCAATATATTTGCAGGGAACCCTGCTTCTTGAGGGGCAGAGGGAAGGTCCCGTTGATTAATCGGGGAAGGGGAGCACGTATGACCCCATGTTTACAGCTACAGCGGTTTCCATTAGAAGGGGCCTCCGTTGTTATCAACCCGAGTGCGCCAAACCCCTCTACAGAGCCCCATATGGAATACACCCCTATCTTCCTATCTATAGATTAATTACTCTCTCTGTATGAGTATATAGATATATGATGGTGAGAAGAACACAATTCCCCACTTGATTTCTCAGTTGATGCCCTGCTATTGCATCCTAGCTAACCCCAAAGCCATTCGGGGCCAAACCCAGACAATAACCCTGAACCCTAAACCCTATCTGGGGCCCTATACCCTGAACCCCAAGCCCTCTCCTAACTTTGGAAATTTACATATGGGCTCCGGATCCAGGGGAGAGAAGCGGCCCGTGCGCCATGCCATGTCGCACCTTGTCAGCCCTCTTTGCAGGCTAATGTCAGAGTCAAAGGTTTAGACACGCGCATCGCGTGCTTGCAGGTTTAGGGTTCAGGGTTTAAGGTTTAGCTTTTTGAAGTCCTTTAGGGTTCAGGGTTTAAGGTTTAGGGTAATGGGTAGTTACGGGTTGCTATAAGGTAAGCATCTTACGAAAGACCAGTGTCGCTTTTAATCGTAAGTAGAAGAGACTATAGCATATTAAGAACCTGGTCATCACTTGCGCTTTCCCTACCTACAGTAGGGCAGTTCTAACAATATGCTTTTAGGCAAGCACAGGTCGTCTTATAGAGGGAAACAAGGATTCTTCATTTGCGAGCCGGGTTTTGAGGATCTTTTGGACTATAAACAACGACAGTTGTCGTATCGTGACCAACTTTTGACTACCCACAAACGAGTCTCCACGATGGCCCCACCATTTTAGCCCACCAAGATCAATGGCATCTGCATGATAAAGAGTATACCTAAAGAAAAGCCACAATGTTGCGAGGCTTCTGCATGGACATCGTGATGCGAGTTGCTGGTGCTAGAGCACCACGGACATACAAGCGAGGCACCATTCTCGTAACGTGACCTCCAGGGCTGGTCCAGGGCATTCTTTCAGGGTTCAGAATCTATGAAGGGTCTATGTGGAATTGTGGAGGGGGAGTAAAACCTTTGTGAAATCCTCCTTTGCCATCTCCTTGTTCAACTTGGATCCCCTTGATGCTGCTCACCTCTAAGCAACCTCTCCAACTAGCATTGCACCCACTCTTAGCTGTTGTTGATATTCCTGCTCCTGCTGCATTCGGCGCTCATCACACGCGGAGTTCATCCCCCACCAGCCTCAACCAGACACTCCTAAACCCTTCATGCAAAAGCTTGACCCTTAAATCCCAGCCTCAGTACTCAGCGGAAGCTTAGCCTGCTGGGCGATTCGCTGTATCATCTGCTCTCCTTGTTGGAAAACAGCCTGGTACGTCTCCTTCGCCAGAATTCAGGGGCTCTGGGGTCGGTGGTCTAGGGCATACGGCTAAACTATAGTTTCGGGGTTTAGGCCCTCTTAGGGTTCGCTTTGATAGTTGTGACGCTGGCATGGCACCCCTTGTCCAACTGTAGCAACAAGTGCAGGCTGCTTCAAGTTTGGGATGTGGTGTTTAGGCCTCCGGATCCCTGGAATAGATTGTCACAAGCGTCGAAAACTGGCTTGGTAGGGCTTGCTCCTTTGTAGAACAATTGCTGCAGGTTTCCCTGTCAAAGGATGGAATGCATGCCAACATTCGGGTCTCAGGCCCTTTGCCAAATCCTGAAAATACCGCTATGAGTTTGGTGTTGAAAGGTGGCCATTGTTCAGGGGTCTAGGCTGTATTGAGAGCTCATACGGCAAAGGGACACATGCTGAAGGACTCAGCGGTTCAGGTCGTGAAGATTCAAGGGCCTGAGGTGTAACATAGCGATGCAAGCCCGGCTGGTCATCTAATTAGCCTAAGTAAAATACTAAACATAAGGTTCTACTCATTTGAACTATAGTCTAAACTCCTAGTATCCACCTTAATAAGCCCTACAATAGGAACCCCATAGGATCTGCTATATAACCCCCTTTAAGGCGTCTAGACTATATCGCATTTGAGGATTTACCAGGAAGCTTTCCGAGCTTCCTCGCTCTTCTTGGCATCAGAAGCGGAGCTATCCTGCAAGGGGCAGTCTGGGAGTTTCCCAAAACAGGGGTACCCTTTTGTGGGTCCCTATAGTAAGGATCATAATATTTTGGGGTTTGTATTGGGGTCCCCTTTGTATTTCAGAAAGCAACCATTTGGGATCTGAAAAAGTGTGGCCAGTAAAGCTTTGCCTAGGGATCATAAACCTACTTCACTACTTGTATCTGTCCACCCGCCGTTTCCCCTTCCCGGGCTTTGAGATCGCCGAAGATCTGTCCCAAATGTCCGCTGAGATCCTGCTTCCTTGGCTGCTCTTTGCCACCTTTGGGTTTAGGGTTTAGGGTTTAGGGTCGCTTTTTCAATCTTTTTTCATGAAGAAGGCTGAGGACAAAAGCTTCAGTAGACGGGCGCCAAGTTTCAGTCTCTCTTTCTTGGAGAGTTTGCGGCCAGGGCCAGGGACCGGCGCCTTTGTTGACTTGGCCTCCTTGGCCTTCTTCGCTTGCTCCTCGCGGGCCATCTTAGCCACGATCTTGTCAGCAACAATCCTGCTCATCTCGTCTAATCTCCTGCACAGCCGTACTTTGTGAACTCTTTCTTCAAACAGGGTCCATTGCTAAACTCCTACTAGGAATCGATCCTGATATCAATAAAACCCGACATGCGCGAGAATGTTTTGAGTCTAGATGGTCCAAACTTGAAGCTCTTCAACTTTGACACTCGCCCGAACGTACCCTGTCTGCCAGGCCGGCATGAGCGCGGGACAACTGAGGGGACCACTCTGGCAAGAAGTTTCTGACAGGCCGAAGTTAAGGACATGGCGAATGTGAGGTGGTGTTCAAAAATGTCCTCCGCAGTTGGGCTGGCTACTTAGTTAAATTCAAACAACGAGCACGGTTGGGGTTCTTGCCTTTTGGCAGGTGGCTTCAAAACGCATTCCGCTAAGCAATGGCAACGACCAGTGCCATCTGTCTTAAGTGTTATGAGACACAGGTTGAAGAAAGAAAGTGTTCTTCCACTCAGAAATATCGTTCTCATTCAGACAGCTACAGACACCAGAGGCGTAAGACACGCTTGATGTAGTCAAGCTCCTGGTCCTCTTTCTCCCCTGCGGGTCTGTAAACATGTCCAGATTGTCTTTCGTACACTTTGTGACGTCGGTGCGCCACACATCCTGCCAATTCCTAAGTTATGGCTGTCTGCTCTTGCTTCTTCCTCTGCAAGGAGTTTGGAGCTACTCCATTACTCAACAGAACCACCACAAAAGCGCCAAGACACGCTTTGATGGGCACGGCACTGCCTGCGTTTGCCAGTGCTCCTAAGGAACTGGCCAGGAGCAATCGCGCTGTGAAGCCATGGACCCCAGAGTCTCCCACCATGTCCTGTCGACCTAGTGCCGGGACCTTGATAGCTGGAAAAGGATTCTGAGTCATGCTTGTGGTATGGTTTGCGATACCTCGACTCTAAATGGGAGATTAACCATTATTGCTTCTGCATGGCCAGGGCCTGCAGCCCGTTTTGCAGCATGCCAGTTTGTGCCCTGGTCCTGTCTTACATGCCCAGGAAGCTATGGTCGCTATTGCGAAGAGTCCATGGAAGCCGCATGTCAGGAAAGAAGGCCAAGCCAGCAGCTACGAACACCGGGAAGGTTGCCAGCGCTCTAGCTAAGCACGGAACTTGGTGTACCACAACTTCAGAAGGAACTTTAGGATCCCATGACAGCCCCTCGCAGACTATCCTTTGATGGGTAAGCTAAGCCAGTAGTTCATTGCCTGCTTAAAGCAAGTTGCCCTTGTCCACCTTCCATGATTAAGCCTTCACTGCACAACCTCCCCCCAAGTAGGTCACACTGACCCGGCTACCTACCCTCACTATCATCATTCTGAGCGTGGCGCGGCCTAGCTTTTGAGTTCAGGGGATGTTTAGCAGCTCAGGATTGAGACTTGAGAAGTTTAGACTGCAGCGGCGTGGGCGTGTATTTAGGGTTTGGCAGGCAGCGGAGCCCACTTCAGTGCTTTGGGATTTCGGGTTTCAGGAGGGAATGGCTCAGTAGCATTAAAGCTGATAAGACTTCTTCACATAGACACCCGCATGGAAGTACCCAGGAATGTTAGCAACGATGCCCTAAACCCTTCTTAACCCTTAATCCAAACCTTGGTACACTTCTGGCAATCCAGCCTCATCCAAAGTGTCTCGCAGCCCCGGGTTCTGCTCAAAAGCCTCGGAGGAAGTGTTGCCAGGGAATTTCCGAAACTGAGTGGTGGCCTTCTGGAGGTCCCTATAACAAGGATTCTAATATTTTGGGGTCCCTGTTGGGTGCCCATATTTAGGGAAGCTACCACTTGCATCTCGAAGCCTCTGACGCTAGGTAGGCACATTAGGAAACACTCGTGCTATCTATAATGGCAGCTATCACTAAACAGGGGGAGCCCAGTATAGACCTCAAAATATTATGTAATTAGAGTCCTTATTACAAAGACCCCCCAACAGGCCACCCCTGTGGCATCTAATAATGGTACGTATAGGTGGCTACAGTATAGGATATAACCTGGATATAGCAGGAGTGCTTTCCAGTCCGGCTCTGAACCTGCAAGCCTTGAATAAGAATAAGAAGGATAACTATAATGGTTTAGGGTTTAGGGTTTAGGGCTATAATTATAGCTGTAAATAGAACAACTCCTCCTCCTCGTCCTCCCCCTCCTCCTATGGTACTACTAACTAGCTTTATGATTACAGGAGGCCCAAGAGCAAGCCTTGACACCTGAATGAAGCCCTGTGCAAAAGGATCCGCAGCGCTTTCATGTACTGGGAACGAGGCAAACCTAAGTAGGTTTACTGTAATAGTAGTTCGAAGAGACTATAGGACCCTAGGCCCTACACTATGGGACTGATTATTACTTGGGCAAGCCGTACAGCCATGCATTCTGCCAGGCCACGAACTCCACCTCTGGAGGGAGTACTACCGCTGACATGGCTGAAGCAATTGACTAATCACGCTGAGGTGTTCATAGGTTGGTACATTGCTACAGCGTGCTGCTTGGTAAGGGTCGCAAGCTTGCTGCTTGTTTGCTTCTTGGGCCTCACACAACTTGGATTTCTTGTTGAGTGCTGTAGTTTTGTGCGAGAGAGGCATGCGGTCACAGATTGCGTTGATGCACTAATGCCCTGAACTTGGTGGCACGCCTCCTCGCACAGTAAATGGTTGATGGAGAGCTGAGAGCTTGGTGGCCCCGTTGCTTCTGCAGCACATATGCTCGCATGGATCTAGAACCGAGCTGTCTGTGTGCGCCTGTCAGGAATCACAGCACTGGTCAATCTCAGCATTCACGCGCGGCTGCGAGGGGTCAACAAAAATCCTCCGCTGTCGGAGCCTTCCAGGCAGCGTTCCTGTCAACATCACCTCTTCAGCCGACCCATTTGGAGGCTTATTTGCAGATACAAGCTGGGCTAGAACTACGGGGGTTTGGATCCGTTCCGTGGCGACCGCCAAGCAACTACTGCTGATACTATCCATCCCGGATCTCAAGACAGTCCTTACTTGAAAGGCGGCTGTTGTCATTCATTAGTCTTTTCACAGGTGTCACTTAATAAATCTGCGGTGTTTGCAGAGCATGCGTCCACGGAAAATCAAGAAGAAGCAACATGCAAAGGTCTCTTAAACCTCCATTTGGGCTATTAGGAAGTCTTCTGACGCGCCAAGAACATGGTTTCTCTCCCCATGGCTTGTGCACGCTGCTCATCTGCAGTTGCCAGCGAGACTACTCGGACAGCTGTCAGAGCTCTAACTACTGCGTAGTATCCTACCTCCTAAGCTATATACATCAAGCTACATCTACAAAGCCCGTCATGAGCTCGGCAGTACCAGTGATAGGGATCCATCCTGGGAGTAAGCAGCTTCAAGCCACTCAGCGACGCGACTCAATCCTGGTGGACTTCTTTGAGTGTCGCTACAGCAGCTGATGATCATGCCATGAAAAGTCAGCTACGGCTCTATTGGAGTTCTGCTGTGCTGCCCTGAGGGCTCTTGCGCTAACTTGCCTGCAGAACTGGCGCTCTATCTCCCTGAAAACCCCTTCCCTGCTGTCTCTCACTTGATGGTCGATAAGCATGAGGTCTCCCAGAAGGATAGGACACATCTCAGGATATGCGTTTTCTACAAGAGCCCCAACAAGGAGAAATCCTTCTTGGGATATGAGCTACAGCCCCCCGCATCATCCTAAGGAACTTCCGAAAGCAAATTGAAAGGCTGCGCTGGGGGAAGGGCGTCCGCCTCGACAACCTGGCGGGCATGTGAACCATGGAGTCCCAACACAATCAACCCTTTTAAGCCTATAACATGTTTGCATGAGGGAAGAGAAGTCCCCTCTCCGCCTCATATGCTTGAACGTTCTTCTTGTCGCCGCCAACAGTGGTCCTGAGCGGATGGAGTCGGCTAGCTTTGGTCTTGGCTGAATTCTGAACCCAAAATCACAATACGTGCCGCTTGGCACGCTAACTTGCACGAGATAGATTGGAATCTGCGACCTCGAAAGCTCATCTCTCTTGCAAATGACTGGGTTGCTGTTGAGTCGACACTATAACAAGGAAACCCCCTGATTTGCTAAGTACCATAATATATTTAGTCAAATCAACTTCCCTAACAGCAACCCAACTGATAATGATAATTCAATTTCACACCTTCTTGATGCTTGATTCCGCACTGTTGGAAGGTTGGATCGCATCCAGGGTCGGCTCTGATTTTCGCACTGCTTACAAAGGAGTGCGAAACAGCGGCTTACTCAGGAATCTTACAATTTACAATATTGGTGTATATGTATATATGTGTGTATATATAGGGGTGCATATACATAGGTCAATATCTAACCTGAAGCCACCAGCTGAGCTGTGGTTTCTATTCCTTAATGATTTCTTTGGAAATGACAACCCTTCCGCCCGCGAGCTTCCGCGAAGACTAGTTTCCTCTTGGTTGGCACTTCAAAACATCTTGCTTCCACAGACCCTTCCGCAATGATTTCTTGGCATGTGCTTCCGCGATGCTTCCGCGAACAGCGTTTCAAGTCTTACGTAGGGTCGCCAAGAGCTTCCGCAAGAGCTTCCACGAGCATCATGCTTCCGCAA